TGAAAGTGTTCTATCTGACTCAATAATTAAAAAAACAAATGCGTGGTTTATTAATATGGCTGTACAATATACCAATGCAGAATATGTATACCGATATGTTACTGACATTAGGATTTTGTGAAGGAAATGCTCGAGAGAGTGTCAGGGTGTACTCTGAAAGGTTTCCAAATCGTCGTGTACCTAGCCACCCAACTTTTGCTGCTGTTGACAGACGTCTTCGGGAGGCCGGTTCCTTTGCTCCCAACACTGTTGATAATGGAAGAGAACGTTTTGTAAGGATTCCTGAAGTTGAAGAATACATTTTAGAACGTGTTGAAGAAGATCCAGAATTAAACACCAGACTAAATGGAAGGGAACTAGGAGTAGATTAGATTAGATTAGATTTAATTAGGACTATGGGCCATGTGGCCTCCCCCACCTCGACCTTTTCAGATCTATTGTGGATATCCTTTAATCATTGTTTAGAGTACCTTGTCTAATGCGGTCTTTTGTAGTTCTCCGGTATAGCTAGTTGCCCTTGGTTTTTCTTCTCCAAGTGTAAGGAATCTCAGTCTTACTAGACCTTCGCAGTAGCACAATACGTGTTCTGCCGTTTCCTCTTCTTCTTGACAGAATCGGCACAAGGCCTCTTCTGTCAGACCGATATTGAACATATGTTTGTTAAGCCTACAATGCCCTGTTAATAGACCTACTAGTATTCTAGTATTTTTCCTATTAAGGCTTAGTAGATGCTCGGTGAGTTTAGACGATGGTCCTTTTAAGAACTTTTTGGCCTGTCTCTGTCCTGGTGAGTTTTCCCACCACTCCTGAGATTTTTTAAACATCCACTGCTTTGTGCATGTTCTGATAGTTGTTTTTGTTACACCACAGAAGGGTTCTGGGCCAATAAGAGCATTTGATGCTCCTTCTCGGGCTAGTAAATCAGCCTCTTCATTGCCTTTGTGTCCCCTGTGGCCTGGTACCCACGCTAAGGTTAGTCTGTTTTGACTACCCAGCTCTGTTAGGGCTTCCAAACAGTCCCACACAAGCTTTGAGTGTACCTGCATGGAACTGAGTGCTTTTAACGTCGCTTGACTGTCTGAGTATATGACAATGGTTTTCCCATTTACCTTCTGTCTTAATACTTCTTTTGCGCAGTGATGTATTGCTGCTATTTCTGCCTGGAATACTGTCGCATGTTTACCTAAGCTCAGTGAGATTCCTGTCTTTGGCTTGGTACTATATATACCTACTCCTGAACCTTCATGGGTTTTGGAGCCGTCTGTATACCAGGTGAGATCTGCATGAATAGGAGGTCCTCCCGTCCACGCTTCCCTGTCTGGTATACTTACTTTATATTGCTTTTGAAAGCTATACTTTGGAAGCATTTCGTCTGAAGGCATTCCCATTATTTGGTCGTTCTCCAACTCTTTATATAGCTCGCTGTAGTCGCGTCCATGCAAACTGCTTATGGGCGATGAACCTTTGTGCAGTCTGTATGTGACAGACCTGGCTTCGCCTTGAATGAATATATGTAGTGGTGTTAGGTTTAGCATGACTTCTATAGCTGCTGTTGGAGTCGTTCTCATAGCTCCCGTGGTAGTCAGGCATGCTTGCCTTTGAATACCATTGAGCTGTCGAATGGCTCCAGCTTGCCTAGTCTTTGGCCACCATACCACCGACCCGTAGGTTATCATCGGCCTTATGACTCTGGTATATAACCACAGGGACATTTTTGGTTGTAATCCCCAATTTTTTCCACACAACCTTCGACATAAGTTGAAGGACGTTGTGCTCTTTTGGGTGACTTTTTGCAAGTGTTGATTCCATGTTAACCTGTGGTCAAAGATGACTCCCAAGTATTTGGCCTCTTGAGCGAATGGAATCTTCACTCCTTTCAGTACTGGTGACTTTAGTCCTGTTGGTACTTTTCGTTTTGTAAAGTTGACTATTGTGGTTTTGTGAGGGTTTACTGTTAGTTCCTCCTCTCTGCACCACTCGTCGACAATGTTTAGAGCGGTTTGTGTGCGCTCCGATATTGTACCTGCGAACTTGCCTCTTACGACGATCGCCAGGTCATCGGCATACCCTAGGCAGTAAAAATCTGCAGATATTAGCCTTTTTATAAGTTCATCCACTAGGACTGACCAGAGAAGGGGTGATAGTACTCCTCCCTGGGGGCAGCCCCTGCCTGCTTTAGCTGTCAATGTAGCTTCGCCTAGAGATGATGTTATTACCCTTTCTTCTAGGCTGGCTTTTATCCACTGACATAGGACTACTGGTACCCCTTTTATTGCTAATGCGTTAATTATAGATCTTGTTTGAGCATTACTAAAAGCTCCCTCAATATCTACGAAAGTTGCTACTGCCATTTCTTTATCCTCGAGGGATTTTGACAATAGCCTGTTAAGATCATTCAGGGCCAACTTTTGCTGCTGTTGAGAGACGTCTTCGGGAGGCCGGTTCCTTTGCTCCCAACACTGTTGATAATGGAAGAGAACGTTTTGTAAGGATTCCTGAAGTTGAAGAATACATTTTAGAACGTGTTGAAGAAGATCCAGAATTAAACACCAGACTAAATGGAAGGGAACTAGGAGTAAGTAAAGATGTCGTTCATAAAGAGCTTAGAGAACAATTGCTCTATCCATACCATAAGAAGCCAGTACAAGAATTATTAGTCCATGATCCTCAAATTCGTTTGGGTTTTTGTCGATTTGTTAATATGCAAAGAGAAAGAGACCCAAACTTTGTCAAGAAGGTTCTCTTTACCGATGAAGCGGGTTTTATAAGAAGAGGTATAACTAATACCCATAATGAACATGTTTATGCCGTTGAAAATCCGCATGCAATAAAGGTAAACCATTTTCAGCACGAATTCAAAATTAATGTGTGGGCTGGAATAATTGGTAATTTCATTGTTGGTCCTGTCATACTTCCACGAAGATTAACTGGAGAAAATTATTTGGATTTTCTACAAAATACGTTGCCAGAATTGTTAGAAGATTTACCTCTCCAACTTCGGAGAGATATGTGGTTTATGCAAGATGGAGTTCCACCACATTTTTCTTTAAACGTTAGAAACCACTTGAATGAACAATATCCACATAAATGGATAGGCAGAGGTAATGACGCACCTGTAAACTGGCCACCACGTTCCCCAGACCTAACACCGATGGATTACTTTTTATGGGGACATCAGAGGACCAAAGTTTATAGGGAACCTGTAGAAAATGAGGAACAACTCTGGCAACGTATTCAAGATGCAATAAACAATCGTAGAGGTGATGAAGAAGTTATGGAAAGGATACATTTTAATTTTCTTCGACGTATAAATCTTTGTATGCGTGAAAATGGTGACCATTTTGAACAATTTTTGTAAAATCTCTATTTTGATTATGTTGTAAATAAATATTTTGTGAAACCTATACACTCTAAATTATTAAAACAGAAATTTAGCGAAAACCATGAGAGTAATCGAGTCTTATCAAGAGTACCTTTTTTAAAGTAAATGAGTTGCGCAATCTAAATTTCATACTCAAACTCCTTTTCTTCCATTGGCGTAGAATTTTTAAAGGTGCAATTATTTAAAAAATCAAGTTCTACGCCTATGTATTATTATCGGACAAAATTTTAATACCGTTTTTTTGCCACATAAAACTCTATCAATATACCAAATTTCAGCAAAATCGCATATGCCGTTTTAAATTTATATGGGAAAAACGATTTAAAAATTTAACTTCAAGGCCCTCTGGAGCCCAAACGAAGCAACTTTGTACTAAGGTAATTTTACTTAAATCGACTTATTTTGGTCTAAGGAATATGTGGTATGTTTTTGTAAAGACCTTTTACAGACACCCTGTATATTGTAAAACTAACTACAAGTGAATCATTTTGTCTGTGGATGACATCGTCATTTGTCCATTGAAGACAAAAGGGTTTAACAGGTCCTGAGAGGCCTATAGAGTATAGAGCAAGATCCTGAGCATTGTCCAAAAGTTCGTACGATTTTACAATCTGAGTACCACAAGAGATCATTATTAGTAATATTTTCAAAAACACGCTTTTGTCAGTTAAAACGCAGCAAGTGATTTCTGAATGATTATTTTCCGTGGAATCGTTTAGAACTGACTGTGAGGACAACGTTTTTGTTATTTGATCATGATTGCTTTGAGTAATGTCTGGGTAGAGATTTATCTTGCTTGTACATGCAATCTCATTGTCTGACCTGTCCCATGGAGCCTTGCCATTGATCTATTCTTCCACGTTAGGTCTTGTTTCATATACCGCCTCCAGTGCCTCATCACTTTCGCTGTTCTTCTCGTCATTTTTAGCCAGATTTAGTGCCAGCTCCAAGTCCGTAAGTTCTTGTTCTAGCTTCTTCTTTATCCGACATTCAATTTCTGCAACCCTTCTTCTTGACGTCTTGCTCTTTTTAGTGTCGAATCACTTTTTCTCCCATATGGCTTGTTTCCTGCGGTGCCACTACAATTGATGGAACTAGACCTTCTGAGCGGACATCTAATTGGCTCTGTCCTTCATTTCACCATATTGTGTATTTTATTTCGGCTCGAGGACCAACTGTTATTTATTTCAATAGTAATTTCTGATTGAAAATGATACACACAGATTGTCTGTCTGAAGAACGTCTATTTTTTTATAGTTACATTAAACCTAAATAAAACCATAGTAACATACATTAAAGAATTAACTTAATCTTATTCTTTAACAGGAACTGTGCAAGCTCCAAAAGTAAATTGTCGTGTTCGAAAAAAAATTAAATTGGACGAGCACCAGAAAAATATGGTACGCACAACTAATAATTCTTCCTCTCTGCACATCTATCCAACATAAAGCCTTTGTTGTTTTTTGGGCTGAAATAAAATTACCGGAGGATGTGAACACAAAATTCGCAAGATAAATCGCAGCAATCATTTCTTCTTTATTATCATGTTTATTTTGAACAAAAAGCCTTTATCTTAAAGTTGGATACCACATTTTTTCCTTATAAAAAGTTTATTCCATATAAGTTTGGTTGTGTGTCTTATGAGAATTGCTCACTCCAACAATTTTTTTTAAGGCTCCCAAGTAGACCCTGCTATAGCTTGTGTAGTTTATACGTAAATCCTGCAGTGATTTTTTCACATTTGATTTTCATTGCTCATCAAAATTATATTTGTCAAATAAAAAAGGAGAACCCAAAAATTACAAAATCATCGTATCTTGCAGTGGATACATTCCCATTTAGGAAATGCTCATGGCTTTCAGTCAAACACTTTTTTGTTTCAAACGCTAAATTTAATTTTAAATAAAAAAAGCATAGCGCCTGTTGAAATGACATTTAACGTGTTCTATCTGCAGGGCAGATTAATCTAAATCAGCATTTAACAAACAAAAAAGAATAAAATACTAAATAGACACACTGTATAAACCTCCGCACTTAACAAATAAAAAAGAATAAAATACTAAATAGACACTCCCTGTATAAACCAATTATCCAAAGTTGTGCAATAACCACCCTTTTTAACTTTCAAGTAACCTTCAAAGACACCTGCTACTTCGCGAACAGTTAAAGCTAGTCACGCGAGATTTTTCACCCAATCATAAGAGAGATCTTAAAAAACAATAGTATCGCGTGCAATCATACGAGACTAGAGAACCAATTAGAGAAAACGGCAGCAAAAAAACTAAAAATGACTTTCGCTTTGTCAGTCGAACAAGCAACAAGTCGCAAAAACTTTAACCTAAAAAGCCGGCATTCGCGGTAATCAATTTCAAGCATTGTGCGATTTGATTTATAAAAGCTAATATGTAACTTATCAATAATTTTATGTAACAAAGTTGTAAATGTGTTAAATGTGAAAGTATCAAGTAGTGAATAAATCAAAAGTAGGGTGATGGTTTTATTTTAATACACCCAGTGCTTCAACTAGAACTTCAAGAATATCATCCAGAGGCTACAGGGTGGAGCATAAGGCCTTCACCCCAGGTAGTCTACTTTGCATACAGTCCACCATGATCGAAGGCAGTATATGTCAAGCCCAATAAAGCTAGGGTAAAACAGCGCCTACGTACTTAGAATTGCTAAATAAAAATATATAACAAAATGCGATTTATCGAAACATCAGCTTTATATGTTATTTTATCATCATTAGTAAAATAACATTTATTCTTTATCTATGTAAAAAACGCTCTTTCGAAAATTCAAGTTTCATATTGAAAATGTGGAAATTTGACGATATTTTCTATATATTTTGCCACAGCTAGTAGGACAGGTTCACTTAAATTTTTTCCCATTAGCTGCACACTCAATGGCAGTCCGTTTTTCGATAATTTTATTGGTACAGACACAGCTGGTATTCCTAAAAGAAAAATCTATTTAGTTTCATAATCCTATGAAATGAATAATTTCGAAAGCTTGTAAAAAACTTTTTTTTATAATAATTGTACTAAATCATTGAATAAAACACTAATCCACAATTTTTATTATTTTCACCTAATTTAACCATTTATTTATAATAATTTTTATTTAAATTACCTGCCATATTCGCTGCTTGTGTACAATAATCTTCATTTAACTTATAGTGGTTAGCTTTTTGCAAATAATCTTTGTACAATGGTGCTTCTGTTAATGTCGTTGGGGTTAATAGCAAACTAACTTCGTCCCAAACGTTGTCAAAATCGTTCGATATCAACCTTCGAGTCTTAAGAGCCTTAGTAAAATACTTATCGTAATTTCTAAAATAAATCGCATTAATTAATGGTAGGAAGTAAGAATGCCTACAAAGGTTATCCTTTGTCAAAACCCTCTCCTAGTATCTCTCATGAACGGCAAAACAGTGAACGGGTAAGGCTGTTCAAAGTAATATATTAATGAATATGGACAAATCTCTAAAATTTCGATTAAGATGAGATAGGTATTTAAATTTTTGTACATTTTTTTTATGTTCTAAGGAGGTACGAGATATTAAATAGCTTAATTCTAGTTATTGTTAGTGCTTTGGCACAATTATTTAGATATGTAAATGATTGATATAAAAAGTGATTTATAATTTTTTTTTCTAAAGTCGTATCCGTGATAAGTACCCACGCTTCTGAATTAAATTAGATCTGTTTTCTGGGACGACGATGATTTCTAAATTTGGCTTTGAAGAACCATGTTCTCTGCAATTTTGTTACTTTTAATCTCTGTTGCAGACAGAAGGGTTTCCTTCTCATCAGCTGGGAGCAGTGGAGAGTAATAATATAGTCAGATTATTGTTAGATTATGATAAAATTAAATGTGTTCTTCATTTATCAACTTTATTTGTACTAACTTTTTTCAGTTTAAAAGAATTTTACATAGGAAAGATACGAGTATCGTAAAGTGGGGTTACTTTGCCAGCCGGGTCAAATTTGCTTAGAAAACTAAAACAACTAAATCTAGCAACGCTGCTCTAATGCAGATGGCGGTAAAATACTACGCGATCAAAAGGTTTTAGGCAGTACGAGTCCGGAGCTCGGTGAAGCGGTGCGCCATATTTGAAAAACACGTGAGTAAAAATTTTATTTTGACCTCGTAAAATCATGTTGCTAGAGTTGTGTAATAAAAACTAATGAATCTTGAATTCTGGTTTTAACATCACCTATTCCTGTGCATATGTGAGTTCTATTTCTGATATTAACAGTTTTCCAGATGCTGAATTTCCAATAATTTTTGCGGTTGGCAAAGTTGCCCCACATTGTTTTTTTTTTTAGAAAACGTATAAAAGACAAGTGGGTGCACGGCGTTATAAAGATTATACTGAAGAGCAGTTGCATAGAGCGTTCTACTGATTAAAAGTAATCAAATGGGATATACCGAAGCATCCAAAACCTTTAATATTCCTAGATGCCTAGTAAATAAAGTTAAAAAAAAAACATGAATGTCCTGTTGGAGCACCTTAGCTAATCTCCCCGGAGATTGAACGGTCCATTGTCGACGTTATAATAGCCAACTCCGAATATGGCTGCCCGGTAACCATGACAGAATTGCAAGTAGGGTTGAAGAGTCATTTAGACAAAGAAGGTGTCCGCCTAGAGAAGTTCAAAGACAATTCACTAGGTGTAGACTGGTGCAAGAATTTTATTCATAGACACAAACATGAATTATCCAACAGATAGTGGCAAAATATTAAAAAAGCAAGAACTGAGAAAACAGATGAGGAAATAAATAATTACTTTGATAATTTAGAAAGAAATGTATCAGGAATTCCAACTGGTTCCATCATTAACTACGACGAGACCAATCTGACAGACGATCCTGGATCGTCAAAATGTATTTTTAGAAAAGAGATTAAATACCCTGAACGCATTATGAACTCAACAAAGTCCTCAATATCCGTCATATTTGCTGCCGCTGCAGATGGAACTTTGTTTGTCCCATATGTTGTGTATAAGACGGAGAGATTATTTGATTCCTGGTGTATCAGGGGACCTCCTGGAACTCGTTATAATAGAACCAAATCTGGGTGGTTTGATCAGTACGCATTTGAAGACTGGTTTACACAAATGGTTATACCGTGGGCCAAAAAAATTGATGAGCCGAAACTTCTAATCGGAGATAATCTATCGAATCATTTAAACATAACAATCATTAGAGAGTGTTAAAGAAACAATATTAGATTTATCTTTCTACCCTCAAATTCAACCCATTTGACAAAACCTTTGGATGTGAGCTTCTTTAAGCCCTTGAAGGTAGTTTGGCGCCGTATAATAACAACCTACAAAACCAAAAATCCACGAGACAGTACAGTAAACAAATCATTGAAAAGAGCATTGAACAAATAAAATTAAAAGACGAACAAATCATTCAAAATGGATTTAGAGCAACGGGAATATACCTATGTAACAGAGAGGAGGTTCTTAATAGAATGCCTAATAAAATATTTAATAGAACCAACACTGATATTAGCGAGACCTTGTTGGATTTCCTTAAGGAAAGTAGAGATCCTTCAAAAGCAAGCACCCCAAAGAGAAAGAAGATTATAAGAATTGAACCTGGCAAATCTGTTGCAAATGAGGATTTCACGACAAGTATTCCCAAAGAAAAAAAACGTGATAAAGTAAATAAAGAAACTGAAGAATATGACTAGACTATTGAAAGTGAATCTGAGGACAATTTAGAATTAGATGAAGTCGAGGATTTCCAAAAGACTGATGACCGCAATGACAAGCCCATTGCTAGCAAGTCTGAAGATGAATAAAAATTAGAGTTAAAAATTCCGATTTTCTACTTGTAGCACTTTTAGGAAAAAAACAATACAAGCATTTTGTTGTACAAGTTACTGACAAAGAAAAAGACTGCTGTAATGTAAAGTTTTTAAGATTAAAATCACCAAACAATTTTTGTTTTCCTAATATCGATGACACAGGCCTTATTCTTGAACACGATATTGTGACTATTTTACAATCGCCAAAAATTGCATCGACATCAAAACAAATTTTTACATTTGAAAATTTTGATTTTTCCAAATATAAAATGTTTTAGTTTTTCGTTTCGTAAAAATTTAAATGTTTATTTTGAAGCATTTGTTAAGTTTCTTTTGTGACTTACTACCTACTTAGAATAGTTAGGAATTATGTTCTTATTATTTTGTTACCTAAGAGTTATTATTATTTTACCAAAGAGTTATTATTATTTTAGAAGAGTTGTTTGTTGACTTTATTTTCTTAGAAATATACATTTTTAATGTAAAAATGAATTATATTTATTAAAATATATTTTTTAAACACATTAAAGGAGGGTAAAGTAACCCTTTGAGACTGTTAACTTGGCCTGTACGCTTAAAAACGTGCACATAAAAAATGTGGTTCTAAATTTTTTTTATGCTTTCTAATTATAAAACTATGTAGCCAAAGTATTAAATTTTCATAAAGTTAAAGCGGACTTTATAATTCCCAACAGAACCATAGATATTAAAAAAAAAACAAAAATCTGCTAAAAAGTGATACTACTAAAACGATATTAGAAAATGCACTAAAGATCTTAAAAAATAACAATAAAATTATGGAATATAGCGCAGCAATACCCTACAACCAAGCTTCAAGAGATTACAAAATTCCAGCGAGTCAAGTCTACTCTTGTGTTATTGCCTCTGTCGAAAACGAAATATCGGACGAAGATTTCTCACAAAAAAATGGTCTCACCTGGAGGGGAATTCCACTACTGTAAAAGAATCATCTCAAAAAAGACAGACACCCCAACAAACTTCATAAGAATTATCACAAAAATCTGAAATTTTCGAAAAACTTCTCTCTGAAGGATTACATTACAAATCCTGCCATTATGCTGTCTATACGAGCTCTCCGCCGCCCCCTGCCCCAATGCCTTGCAATAAGTGTTTGAAGTTTTCCCACTCTACAGAAAACAGAAACAACAAAATGCAACAAATGTTCTGAAGCGCATTTCACGAACAAGTATCCAACCACGCTTCCCCCAAAATGCAGTGGATGTGGCTCAGAAGAGCATCAAGCTTGGTCATTTAAATGTCCTAAAAGACCAACAAAACCAATAACAGGAATTCCCAACTTACCAGTAAAAACATTAAATAAAAAATCTGACCAAATTAAATACAATATGAAAATGAACAGAATCCACTCCCCAATAACAGTTCACGACATAATAAATTCTTATGTACAAAAGCTGAACAAACCCCAAGACATCAACAGAGAAGAGTTAATAGAAAGACTACGAAAAAGATTCATGGCGGAATACAGAGTAGATACCACTGTAACGTTTGTGGGAAACAACTGGTTTTACATCTTGATGTTTGACATGGAACTAGAAACTTCGAATCTCCCACTGAAACTATACCAGGATCGCAAGTAGCTCACATTCAACAACGAAATTAAAATATTATACACTAATATAAACAGTTACTTTCAAAAGAAATATTTAGTGAACTATACGATGGAAATGAAGTTAATAGACTGTGCGCTATTTGTAGGAACTAAAACCAATGCGGAAACCAACACCAACTATAGAACTTGGGATGTAGTAAGACACGACGGAAATATTCTAAACCAAAATATAAGAGGAGGGTCACTTATGCAAATAAATCCAAAGCTAAAAATGCGAAAACAAAACCCATAAACGATCCCCGAAATGATGCTCTACACGTCAGTATCCCTTTCAATGATGACGAACTTCACATTATTTTGATATACAGCCACCCACATGCTTCAACCGACGATTCTATCTTCAGAATGGCAAGAAGATTTAAATATGTTGTGCTAATCGGTGACTTCGACCACCGCTCTCCAGGCAAATTAAAACAGATTCAAACTTTTATGCATAACACAAACTTTATTAAAGCGGATACTCCCCCTACTTTTTTGATGCCCAACAATGAGGACTCCACCCCAGATTTGTTAATGTACACTGACAATCTTAGCAACGCAATCAAGAATATAGAAGTAATCCCCGACATTGGGACAGACCATCACTCTATAATATTTACTATCGAGCAAGGAATGTCCTCTCCTGGAATACGGTCACACTATATATTTAAACTGCCGAAAACCTACATTAAAAAACATTCAGGCGGCCGAAACTTCTACACTAAGAATCATTACCAAGATGCGACATCCTGAAAACCCCACTCACCATCCAGTGAATGAATATCTTTACGAAAAAACTAATATTCAGTCTATCCTGGAAAGAATTAGAAAACTATCAAAACATTTCTCGAAGAAACGAAACAATTACATGCTAATAAACATTTTTTCGATGCAACGACAAATTGGTCAAGCAAAGTTTAAATACTCAGTGAGATCAATAACAGAAATCTTAAACGAATTTGCCGACGAACAATAATTAGTGACACATATTGTTTTTTTTTATCTTAATTTAATATTCGTATTCATCTTACACATATAGCTTATAAATCCTCATACATACTATACAAATTGTACTGGCTGAAGGAATTAGGTCGATGGCCATTTGGTTGTAATATTCATAACCAATAAAGTGGTTTTATTATTATTATTATTATTATTATTATTATTATTATTATTATTATTATTATTATTATTATAATTATTATTATTATTTAAATAATTAATTAGTGGTATAATATACAGGGTATTACATTAAAAAAATTGAGAAAATCGTGAATTTGCGTTTTGGCATAACTAAGGGGTGGTGACATATTATCTACAAGTGAAATCATGAATAATGGATTAAATTTAAATATTTATCCTAAAAAAAAGGTGCCCATTTTATGTCGAACATAATGAACGTTCATTTTTCATGCCTATTAGGCAGGCTTGGCGACTACTATGTCGAATAAAAATAGCGTCCAAAATGGAAGACTATGTCGCAACCCCCTTAAATATACTAGTTTGCCTTCCAGCAGCTATTTAATAAAATTTATCAATAATTTGTGGGGTTGCAAGTATCTATAGGACTATGGGCGTACGAAATTTTTATTTATAAATGTGAATAATAATAATTTCACTTTCTTACCACTAAATTTCTCAATTTTAATAATAAAAATAAGTCTAGCACTAAACAAACAAAATTAAAGAGGCTCAAATAATACCAGTTATTAGCACATAAATTGTAACTGTACTAAAATCATCTGAGGACAACACACTACTTAAATATTCAACAGACTCCTATGAGGTCCCTTTAAATTATAGTGTAGCACTATCGCTCTGGCTGTCCTGTTATTTTTACTCTTTTTGTGAGACTGTATTGTAACTAGAATGCAACGGTTTTTTATCTGCCTCTTAGATGAAGTGACATTTTGACAACCTGCATGGTCTTACTTATTATTTATTTTTCAATTAATTTCCCACACAGAAAAAAAGGTTAAAGTATCCAATTATAAAGTACCTGGTAAGTAAAAAATAATTGCCACACAATATCCTACTTTTTACAACTTCATTGAAACCAATTTTTCGATTAGTGGCGTATAATTTTTCAGTGGAAGAATCTTCATCAGCCCGAAATCCATATTCAATACCATCATATCTGGCCATATTACTAGCAACTTCACACTGATTTAGAATTGAATAACATACAATACTGTATTCTGTGTTGGGCATCGACACCTAAAATGTTGAAATATTGTTGAGAATGGTTATAATAATATACCTATAATGTTTTTAAATAAATTCTTACTTGTTTAATCAATAAAATTTACTAAATGGGTGTCTTTATTATGAAATTGAGAAGTTAATTCATTAATAAACACTCCTTAAATAGATTTGTTCCAACAAATAATCCATGATAATCTGAAATTAATCTCTGATTTATTGCATAAGTGTAACTCCTACACTATTTATTTTTCTTATTGTATTACATTAACAATCCAAACAAAGAGGTACGTGAAGTTAGCACCGCCAAATGCGAATTTTTATAAAAATAATTTGGCATTTGTTTGTCCACGATTGTCCAACAAAAAATTTCGTTTGTCCACCCTCCAAAAAATGCTTATAGCAAAATTAAAAATTCAAGCCAAATTTCACATAAAAAACTTTGATGATTTGTCTACGTTTGTCCAACCAAAAGTTTCATTTGTCCATCCCCTAAACCGAGATATTAAAAAAATGGTCTTTTGTCCACACACATTATTTTTGTTTGTCTAAGGCCTTATTTTCGTTTATCCATCCAACAAAAATAAGTTATTAACAAATAAAAAACTCAAAATATCAACAATTATGAATATAAGTTAGTTTTATAAATTAGAAGTACTTATATTAATCATTGTTCATATTTTGAGTTGTTTATTTGTTAATAACTTATTTCTGTTTGATGGACAAACGAAAATAAGGCCTGGACAAAAGAAAATAATGTGTGGACAAACGATTGCCGTATTTAATTCATATGAAAGGTATTAAGTTTGTCCCTAAAGACCATGTGGATTATTTTTTTTTATTTTTTAAATATCTCTGTTGTAGTGGTGGACAAACGAAACTTTTGGTTGGGCAAACGTGGACAAATCGTGGACAATCGACTGTCACTTAAAATTATCAAAAAGTTTTTACGGCGTAATGATTTTTGCTATAACTTTTTTTTGAAGGGTGGACAAACAAAAAGTTTTGTTGGACAATCGTGGACAAATGAATGCTAACTTATTTTTATAAAAATTCACATTAGTCAGCACCGGCTGGCTTCATGGACCTCATGGCTCATATTGGCATAGTGAGTCTTCTTCAGTGCTAAGACCTCATCAATCATCTTTAAAGTCAGAGGTGTCCAGTCAATTTTGAGTCAAGTTTAACGCGCGATTCTAGTCTTTTGTAGAATTGTTTACTTTGATTGCTATTACAGCTTGTATAATTAGGGAATTTTTAGATCTTTATGAAGTCAGATTTGTCACTTACCATCGTGCATCTGGGATCATACGTAGTAGATTTTTAGATGAGTATTAAGGAAAATTTCGATTTTCTATTGAATAATCACCCATACAGCACACATTATTTCAGAAGTGTTTCAGAAATATTTCAAACATATAACATTTCAAGCACAATTTGCTGAAATATTTTAGTTAAATATTTCACTAAAAATATTTCTGAAACATGGTATACATGTTACACAAAAGGTTACTAAACGGATTATGTTGTAAAAGGCCAACAATTAATGAAGAATTTCTGATTTGTAAGAAGATGGGATATGTAGTTATTTTATTTCATCATGTACCTGTCCAGCCACTAGCTAGAAACAAGCCAATATTCTAAATTAATTATAGATTTGAGATATTGGCTTTTGATATTCATGCGTTGTGAATTATGAACTTGTTATAATATGGGAAGCAGAATATGTCTTTAGAAATTAAGGTGAAAACTACATTAATAATGCTTGCTTAGGTGGATCTTTATGTTTTGTTTAGACAAGAGTATTGTTTTATTAAAGTTAATTTGGAACAATATTAATAAAACTATTGTTAATCAAATAATTTGTATAAATCCTTTTTATTTACCTATATTTTGTTACAGATTGGTGTATTTAAAGGAATTGGTGGAAATGAAGCAAATTACCAAGTTATTCAACGTTTCCAGAATAAAGAATTAAAAAACATTGTCGATGCATCCTGGTACTGCCGTAATACTGACTTTATAGGGACCTTAAAGTGGAGACTGTTGAAAATACAATTCAAAAATTTTCCAGTAGTCACCAACGACTGTTCCAACATGGAAACCTTGAGATTATGTAACTCCTCAACAATGCCAATCTAATAAGAAGACTCAAGAGAACCAGCCCTTTTGAGTTAGTTCAGCGATGTTAGATTAAAACAGAGTATAGTGAGGTTAAGTGTTATACGTTAACGGTAGTGGGTAGAATCTTAGTTTATGAAGTTTTTCATTCCTAGATAAGTTAGGTAAAAATAAAATTGCTAATTGATCTTAATGATTAGATTATAATCGTAAATGTTTCTTTACTTAAAGCATTTATTAAAAAAAAAAACAGTTGTTTCAAATTAGTGCGTTTAAAGGAATTCGTTTCTATATTTTATGAAATATTCTTTAAAACATATTTATTTGTTTTTTAAAGAATCAATATTTGAGTTTTGTGTATTTTAAATAAACATGTATATTTTTAAATGTCTTCTAATAATATATTAGAAAAAAAAACTGAAATATTACTATTTAATATTTCTAAAAGATTTCAAATTTTCATTTCAGAAATATTACTGTGAATAGATTTCAAAGATGAATTTTATAATTAATACCACAAGATGGTTTTCATGAATCTCATTTTAGAGATAATTTTGTAAAGTATACTACCACATGTTGTTAATTAATCTCTTTATTTTTCGTTTGCATTTACATTTATATTATCACAGAATAAACAATATACAATAACAATTAATATTACTTAATTATTTAAATGTACATTAGAAAAATATTTTTATTCCAATTTCAGTCTCTCCAGTTCAATGCTTTGAAAATAATTTTGAAATAAGTCAGCATTTTTATTATTATAATTTACACATCGAACTAGATACAAAATTGGAACGTGTTTATTATTAATTGCATATGAAATTAAACATTTTAATTCAATAAATAATTAATTTCATATACAGGATGTTAATTTAATTGGTGAATATAAAGAAAAATGTTCAAATCTGAACAATTATATTTACAGGACATTTTTTACGTTTCAAGCATATTTTAGAAATGTTTCTGGGATGTTTCGTAATATTTATACAACATTGCAAATGTTTCAAACATTGATGAAATATTTCCGAAATCTGTTTGTGATGTATGGGCAGCGATTCTTTTATTCTTATATCAATTTGTTTGCGTTTCTTTATTATATGTTCATTGAGTCAAGATGTATTCCTAAATATTTTGTGTTATTGTGGGATTTTTGTATTTGATGAGAAAAGTTGGAGGGCACTTATCTCATTTTAGGGTGAATGTGACTTGGAAAGATTTGGACTTGGTGGTTTCATTGTTGGTAGATCCTTTGTATATAATACATATAATAAGGACACGAGAACACTTCCCTGCGGGACATATGATTTTATTGGAAAATTGTTGGATATAGTTTCGTTGACTCTTGTTCATATATTTATAGAACACTAGAGCTAGAAACTTATAATAGTGATGAGTCGCTTGGAAAAGTCCATCGACAAGTCCGATGGACTAGTCTGAAAAGTTGACTTGTCCAAACACATTTTTCAAAAAAAGTTTATTGTAAATGCGTGAAATGAAATTAAATAATTTGACTGAATTTTTTACAAACAAGTGCAAAATACGAGGTGTGGCAGAAAAGTAATGAGACTGATTTTTTACTTTACAAAGTTTTTATTTTTTTCAAACATCAATGTTATCCCCATCAAAGTAGTTCCTTTGGGCAGCTACACACCGATGGAGACGTTGTTCCCACCGTTCGTAGCAGCGCTGGAAGTCTTTAACCGTTATGGTTTTCAGCATGTCCGTTACAGTCTTTTGGATGATTTCTAAAGACCCGAAACGACGGCCTTTGAGGACATTTTTCAGTTTAGGAAAAAAGAAGAAGTCACAGGGACTGAGGTCAGGGGAATAAGGAGGATGGGGAACCACAGGAATGCCTTTTAAAGTCAAACATTCTGTTATGGAGAAGGCGGTGTGACATGGGGCGTTGTCATGATGGAGCAACCATTTCTCTGCAATGTCTGTTCTCACGCGAATGACCCGTTTTCTGAGCCTCTCAAGTACGAGTATAAAGCCGTCCCCTACTTCAATTAAAGTTTCTTGTGTCGAATTTCTCATACAAAACAAAAAAAAATCAGTTGTCGGGCCCCCTTTATACTGCTGCCGGGCCCCCATTTGAGTCCGGGCCCCGGGAATTAGTCCCGGCTACTCCCTCCTCTAGTCGGCCCTGTCCCTGACCTCAGTCCCTGTGACTTCTTCCTTTTTCCTACACTGAAAAATGTCCTCAAAAGCCTTTATTTCGGGACTTTAAAAAGGATTGTAAAGGATATGCTGAAAACCATAAAGGTTGAATATTTCCAGCGCTGCTCAGGTCCGCTGAGAGACAGGTCGGGCCCCGGGACAATTTTCCAGGTTGGGCCCGGAGACAATTATATAATTAAGCTCTTCCAATATCACATTTCTAAAAAAAAGTCTCAAAGCAAAAACTTCTCCTCTTTAGTGAAATCTCCGGTCCCCCCCTTATGCTGTTGTCGAGCCTCCTCTTGAGCCCGGGTCCCGGAAATTTGTCCCGGGTACCCCCTCTCTCGTCGGCCCTCTGGCGCTGTTACGAAGGAACAATGTCTCCATGGGTGTGTAGCTGACCAAAGGAACTGCTTTGAAAGGGATAACATTGATGTTTGAAAGAAATAAAAACTGTGTAAAGTAAAAAATCAGTCTCATTACTTTTCTGCCACACCTCGTACAGTTTTAAAAAGAAGAAACGACAAATGATTACCGACTTTTATATATTTTAACGGTGTTTTTAAATTATTAAATCTTATTAAAATAAAAACGATAAAAAATGACCAAAAAATCCAAAGTTAGGAAGTATTTTACAAATTATTTGCCTAAAAAAAATTATGCTGTTGCCGAGCCTCCTCTTGAGCCCGGGCCCCGGGAATTTGTCCCGTCTACCCCCTCTCTCGTCGGCCCTCTGGCGCTGTTACGAAGGAACAATGTCTCCATGGGTGTGTAGCTGACCAAAGGAACTGCTTTGAAAGGGATAACATTGATGTTTGAAAGAAATAAAAACTGTGTAAAGTAAAAAATCAGTCTCATTACTTTTCTGCCACACCTCGTACAGTTTTAAAAAGAAGAAACGACAAATGATTACCGACTTTTATATATTTTAACGGTGTTTTTAAATTATTAAATCTTATTAAAATAAAAACGATAAAAAATGACCAAAAAATCCAAAGTTAGGAAGTATTTTACAAATTATTTGCCTAAAAAAAATTATGCTGTTGCCGAGCCTCCTCTTGAGCCCGGGCCCCGGGAATTTGTCCCGTCTACCCCCTCTCTCGTCGGTCCTCTGGCGCTGTTACGAAGGAACAATGTCTCCATGGGTGTGTAGCTGACCAAAGGAACTGCTTTGAAAGGGATAACATTGATGTTTGAAAGAAATAAAAACTGTGTAAAGTAAAAAATCAGTCTCATTACTTTTCTGCCACACCTCGTACAGTTTTAAAAAGAAGAAACGACAAATGATTACCGACTTTTATATGTTTTAACGGTGTTTTTAAATTATTAAATCTTAATAAAAAAAAAAAAAAAAACGTTAAAAAATTACCAAAAAATCCAAAGTTTGAAAGTATTTTACAAATTATTTGCCTAAAAAAAAAATAAAAATATTTATAAAATAAAAATCTACTAAATCATCTTCACTTTTAATTAATTCATGTAGATTTGACCTCAATCATTTTATAAAATAATATTTTTTTATCTATGAAATAAACTGGATGATGTTGATCATAAATACAAAACAAGTATGTTTTAAATAAAACTTTATATACATACTGCACTATGCTAAGTCTGAAATTCATAGATTTTTACTCTTGTTGGAACAAACCTATAATGTATGCATTTCAAGACAATAAAGATTATTTACTTGTTTTACTATAGCACCTTCATTCTTTAACATCGTAGCAATATCATTCCAAGTGTCTGCCACTTCTTGACTTAAATATTCACAGTTATATTCTACAGGTATGCCTATTTTAAGGCCTTTAATGCTCATCTTTGAAGCAGGAGGTAATCTTAAAGTATTAAAAGAAAACAAAAATGACTGTATAAAAAACTTACGTTAAAAAAAATTACCTAATCTTTCTAAACGGTTTAGAACGTGAAGTCGAATCTTTTTCATCATAACCAGCTATAACATTCAATACAGAAACCACATCATCAACAGTTCTTGCTAAAATTCCAGGAACATCCATTGAATTTACCAAAGGAATCAATCCTAAACGTGAAACTAACCCATATGTGGGTTTTAAACCAACAAGGCCACAGTAAGACGCTGGATTCCTTGTAGAGCCACCAGTATCTGATCCTATTGCACTAAAAAGATAGGACTTTTAGTATTATAACTACAGCTTTTATAGTACTTCATATTTTCTAAGATCTAATCAGTAGGTCACCTACATTTTCAATGTATTGAGCTAGTAGCTGTAATATTATATAGTGTGGAACAGCCAAATGGAATAAATTCGATAATAAATAAATGGGGGCGTGTTCTGGAGAATCCAAAAATTGAAAAATATACATGGTCTTGCATTTAAAATAAAAAAATGGTATTGGCCACAGTTACATGACACACTCTGTATAAAAAGATTGTTAAAAAAAATGCGCAACTAAAAATACCAATCGACATATCCGAGCGTTTTTCCGAACACGTCCCCTATTTATTTATTACCGAGTTTATTCCATTTGGCTGTTCCACACTGTATAATATAATGCGACAATTATGATTTACCTGTGAGCTTTCGAAAATGCTCTATGTACTTAAAGAACGGAATAAAATTATCTAAATTTAATATATGAGTGAAAAATGCCTTAAAATTATATTTATTGTGTCTTTATAATGTACTTAAATTTAAGATTTTATGTACATCACTCATTTCGCATCTCCCAAAATAAACACGATAGAATTTATTGATTAGGGTCAATCATGGTAATATACATTTAAAAGCATTTTAAAAATCCCTCTTTTACTTTGCAGTGGTAACACACATACATATTTACTGTCCAGTGTCGGTATTTCAACCTCGTAGTTAGAAATAGGTCAACGGTAGATAATTTAATAAAAAAAAAACTCGAAAAAAAGATTTTAATTAAGGCGAGAGTTTAATTGCGTTTAATTTTATTTCCTAATAAATTTGAAAACTATACAAATTAAAGAGCTAATATTTGGTAGACGTTTTTGAAATAACTCAGAGCAGTGGCTGACGCCAATATAAATAATATAACTTTGATAATAATAAAAATAAAAGTTTAAACAATTATAAAAAAAATGTAATACGATTTTTTCAAGGGGTCAAGCAAATATTCTATTAATAATCAAATACAATTACGTTGAAACCAATTCTCAAATCAATGTAATAACGGAGAAAATTGAGAAATAAGATACAAGCTAAAATTTCAAATAATATACGCGGAAAACCCTGTTTTACCAACATTTTAGTTCAGGCACTCGTCGATAAATCTAAAAACAAGCAAGTCGAATCGTTCCCAACAATCAACACATGCACTGTATTCAGAATATAGTTTTTATTGTTTAAAGTGCAAACAGAAGACGAAATAACGTGGGTTTCAAATACAAAAGAAATTAAATAGTGGCAACATTGACAATTTGTTTGTCGCTTGGCCTTTGCACGCTGTATTTGTAAATTCACGTCCACAGTCTATTATCCTAAATCGTTAGAAAATGATTTGTGTGATGGATGGGCTATTAATTTGTCGGACGGTTAACTATTTCGGAAAGAGAAGAAAGGTTATTCTCGAAATATATTTTTTTTGTTAATTATTTAGGTAATATAGATGGTTAAAATGGCTTGCGTATTCAGTATTTTTCAAATCAGTTATGAACGTTTTATAAGAGAGTAGAAGCATACTGGATGTCTTAAAAGAAACACAAAATTCATAGTACCTTCTATAATTAAAATTCGGCAAAAAGGTAGGTAAGTAAGTTTGAAAAAATGTGTTTCAAGCAAACATTGAATTTTATTGTACCTATAACACAATAATTTTTTTAATGTTAAATTGTTTTTTCCATAAAAGCGACATATTTAACAAATAAGTCTAAATATTCATTATTATCAGTAAACATAGGTAAACTTTACTAATAATAAATAACATATTCCATATCTTTGTTATGTGTTTAAATTACAACTATAAATAAATACCTTTGAGCCTCTGTATCAGAAATAAAAGAATAATCAAATGTATTAAAATTGGAAATTTCCAGCAAGGGTGATTTAATTTGTTGGGTACTTTTAGTTAATTTCGGAGACTTTTTAACTGAGGTATGTTCAAATCACTAAAATATATACACATTATAATTATTATATAAATAAATATGTATGTACAGCGTGTAGCAGAAATAAGTGCAAATATTTTAACGAGTGGTAGAATTCGCCTAAAGCGTATGTATGTATGTATGTATTTTTCGTAAAATGTGGATCCTTTAGCCGATATTTATCTAAATAAAAGGTCTTCACCTTATATTTTTCGATAAATCGAGTTCCTAGTTTTAATTTACGTGTTTAAATATTAAAAAGCGTGGCATTTGCATAAAAAGAGTGGCATTTGCATAAAAAGAGTGGCATTTTAATCAAAAGCGGGTCATTTTCGTACTGTGGCGTTGAGCGTACAAGCAAGTCAAAAAGCGTGGAAAATACGCCAAAAGCGTGACGCCTGTCAACCCTAAAAATAACCCACTTTCTTGGAAACGAAAAAGTTTTGACAAGAAAAGGAAAACTGTTTGTGATGATATACAGGGTGTCTGTAAAAGGTCTTTACAAAAACATACCACATATTCCTTAGACCAAAATAAGTCGATTTAAGTAAAATTACCTTAGTACAAAGTTGCTTCGTTTGGGCTCCAGAGGGCCTTGAAGTTACAATTTTTAAATCGTTTTTCCCATATAAATTTAAAACGGCATATGCGATTTTGCTGAAATTTGGTATATTGGTAGAGTTTTACGTGGCAAAAAAATGGTATTAAAATTTTGTCCGATAATAATACATAGGCGTAGAACTTGATTTTTTAAATAATTTCACCTTTAAAAATTCTACGCCAATGGAAGAAAAGGAGTTTGCGTATGAAATTTAGATTGCACAACTCATTTACTTTAAAAAAGGTACTCTTGATAAGACTCGATTACTCTCATGGTTTTCGCTAAATTTCTGTTTTAATAATTTAGAGTGTATAGGTTTCACAAAAATATTTATTTACAACATAATCAAAATAGAGATTTTACAAAAATTGTTCAAAATGTTCACCATTTTCACGCATACAAAGATTTATACGTCGAAGAAAATTAAAATGTATCCTTTTCATAACTTCTTCATCACCTCTAAGATTGTTTATTGCATCTTGAATACGTTGCCAGAGTTGTTCTTTATTTTCTACAGTTCCCTGTAAACTGTGGATATACCAAATTTCAGCAAAATCGCATATGCCGTTTTAAATTTATATGGGAAAAACGATTTAAAAATTGTAACTTCAAGGCCCTCTGGAGCCCAAACGAAGCAACTTTGTACTAAGGTAATTTTACTTAAATCGACTTATTTTGGTCTAAGGAATATGTGGTATGGTTTTGTAAATACCTTTTACAGACACCCTGTATATTTTAATATTTTAAAAGTATCAGATTGGCGTGAAGTTTACTATTATTTCCAAATATTCATTTTCTAATATCTATGATTGGAAGTATAAAAATTATTGGTTAGTCATTTTTTATATTTAAATAATAAACACACAACACCACGACACTGCATCTTCCTAATATCTCCTGCTTGTAGGGGGAGAGTTGCCCCTCCCTGGCTTTTAAGACTTAATTAACAACGCATAAGATATGTATTACTGATATTTGGTTAGGTAGGTACTGTGTGCCACAGTTTGACAACGCTGTATACAGTAAAATTACAAAACTAACACAAATGGCAATGGCTCATATTTTTGTTGTCACCGTGCACGCGTAATAAATGCAACGCATACTATGTCTAGTCTTTGACTGCAGTGGGATTCTTATTTTTCGATATAGCATAAGTGGAGACGCCTATCATCGTTCGACAGACTGCAATTCTTATAATGTCTCCCTCTATTCAACACGTGACGTGGCAAGTTCAAGAATCTGTGCTGATTAAATTGTTTAAGATGCCACGAATTACGGGACAACAACCTCATAGAAATAATATTCAGGCTAATACAGTTGAAGAATATTATAGGTTGAATGTATTTATTCCATATCTTACGTCGCTTACATCACGCTTTTCTGAAGACTCTAGTGTAAGTTCTTCTGTAAGCCTCTTACACCAAAAACTACCGATAAGAAAATGAAAATAGTGTAAAAATTTTCAGTCCACAATTTTGAAGCTGAATACCAAACGTGGATGTACAAAAGAGTTTCCTGCACACAGTGAGCTCTCCGTTAATAATATAGCGTCCAAAAATTGTGAATTTTATCCGGGCGTAAAAAAAGCTTTAAAAAGCAAACTTGTGACTTATTGATAGGAAAACAGTTTTAATCATTAATTTCTATGTGTTCTTTTGAACTAAAAATAAACAAAATATAAATTACAATCGCAATTATGCCACTTATTTTTGTTCATACATTTTGATTCCACGTTTTCATAAAATGGTAATGTTTGTTTTTATTTTGACATTATTAAACTTCTCATACATTTTTTCTTTATTACTGTTGCCTGCCTATGTTTTATTATTGATTTGTATTGATTATATTACTTTTTTGAGTATAGTAATAAAGATATATAATAATAATAAATTATTTTTTTTTACTTGTTTTACAAATCCATATATATTTATTAAAATCAACATATACATTTTTTAATTTCGAATTCTATTAAAAATTGCATTGTCAGTATATGCAAATATCATCCGTTAGTTCATAAATTAGTTGGCGCTGCTGTCACACACGTAGAAAATAATGTTATCGATATTTGTGGTACAGAAAGAAGAAATTTAAAATTTGATGTCTTTGTGTTTGTCGACGTATTTGAGTGAGTTTTTTATGTTTTAGTGTTTCTATAAATATATTTTTTATCAATGTGTTTTTTGTTCCTATTTTTCCTTCATATCTGTTTTTTAAAATATGTGTTTTGAGTTTCTTGTTTTTTTTATTTTCGTATTTTTCTTTTTGTTGGTTTATTTTTAACCGACTTCAAAAAAGGAGGAGGTTCTCAATTCGTCGCGATTTTTTTTTTATGTATGTTCAGCGATAATTCTTTTTTTGTTAGAAAGGGGGTACTTCAGGGGTGGTCCCATATAAATTTGGTCAACATCTAATAATTGGGTCCATAACAAAATCCTCAAACTC